CTTACCTTTGATTAAATTAATTAGATAGATACAGTGCTGTATGCTCAATCACCTATTTTAAAAAAGCAGCAGTAGCAGTGTTTCCATAGACCATCCATTAATTAAGTGTCCTCTGTAGATGCCTCATGAAAGTAGAACTTTCACCGTCACATATATTCAGTTCAATCTAAATACTGCATTTGAAAGATCAGTGAATAGTGACTCCGTGCCTCATCAAATCAAATCTTATTTAACTTTTAATTACATTGGATCCATTTAGAAAGTCACACTTTTAGAAAGAAGCAGCAAAGCTTACCTTAACTTTTCAAACAGTCGGCTGAATCCAGTGATCCACCAAACGGGTAACTAGACCAGCTTGGTACACACTCCAGCTGTCAGTGAATCTGTGAATGATAAATAAGAGATGCCTCTTAGATCTGTGTACACCTCGGACATAATGCAGGACAGCTTACGGTGATGCAGCCTAAGCCTTGAAAAACAGTCATAGTAGTCATGTTGCATTCTCCATCAAAAAATCTCTAAAACTCCAAAGTATAGATAACAATGACGAGTATCCATTGCTGGGTGTGCTATTCACTTTCATCAGAAAAATGCCAGAATGTGAAATGAAAATGTGAATCAACTTGCTTTGAACTCGGAGGAAAAGACGTTGCTGGAAATGCTGTTCGCATGACAACAGGTTGCTTTTGCAATAAGTGAACAAAATCTTTTGACAAATCCAAGAGACCAAACTTGCCAAATCTGATGATGGCATCTCAGCTCACAATCTGCTCTGGCAGTCTGCTCCCACAAAAACGTCTTCACCTTGCCAGTGCACAAACCTAAACAGAGCTTTATACAGCCTGATATTACCAAAAAAAAAACATTCCATCTGAGCTGAAAGCTGAAATGTAAAATGTGAAATTCTGAGTCACCGATGCATAAAAGTTGACAAGTGATTATCTTTCTTTTAGAAGGATGTAGTTCCTGATCCTATAGCAAAAGCATTTAATTTGCTTTATCATATAGCCATAGGGAGTATGTAGAGTCTCAATTATTAAACCAGCAATAACTATTAAGCATTTTTGTGAAATACTGTGTAATATAATGACGTAGTTGGATCTCCACCTGTCCCAATATTACTTCAGACAAATAGTGATGACTGAGGTTTAGACCTTTACACCCTGCAAATTTCAAGTAGCAGAGCCCAGAAAGACTTGCAGAGGCAGCATCCTCTGGATTAGCAAACACTCCAGCTGGCAGCCACATGCTGATGATGGTTCAGTTAAGGTTAAAGCATAGCCAGCTCGCCAGCATATTTTCTTCTCTCTCAAGTTCTCACTGTATTGACAAAAGGACCACAAGTCCCAAATGGAAAGTAGAACTGCTGTGCATCAGTAACAGCCTATACCAGCTATTGTGACACCATTAGGCGTGCGGCCATTATTTTCTTGTATCAGTGGTATGTTGACAATAAGGATCTGTGTCTGGTATTTGTTGGAACTTACAATACTGTCTGAGAAAAAACACAAAACATCAAAAGGAAGATAAGGGCTTGTGGAAAACAAATTCCTTTGCCTGAGCTACAAAGCTATCTCTGGTGCACTTTCAAGACTTTAAATTGGCCCTAAATGTGTCTAGAAGATTTTAGTACTGTGTTCTTGTGTTTTTACCAGAACTAAGGAAGATTTAAATACCATACATCAGGCCATCTGGTAGATTTGTGCAACATGTCTAGAAACGGGGGGAAATTGCCACAAAATATACAACTCAGTATTGTGTGGCAATTGCTACATAAATATATAAAATATCAAACATATTACTTAAGGTTGCAAACGGTTTAAATTGCATTTTTAATACTGACAAAAAAATCAAAAAATAAGCCCTGACATTAAAGAGAAGTACTGGAGATTTTTCTTTTTAGTGTTATATTAATCTGTCCTGAGCGTGTGACGAGCATGAAAGAGAATCCCTGATCATTAGAACTTCGGACTAGTCTGGGCTCACGCTCAGCTGTTAATAAAACCCATAAACTAGATCCTTCTAATAGAATAATTTCAAAACCACAACTGGGAGCTACAGCTGAAGGAGTAATCAAATTGATGCCTCATCTCTGGACTGGATGTTTACTCGTTTTCTTATTTGCTTGCTTTGGCAAATTCAAGCTTTTAGTCATTTCAGTATACAGAATCAATTACGGTTACATCGACTCCTCCCAGCTCACGCCTGGGGAACGACTTTTCAAGTGACCAAAGTAAAGAAATGCACTACAATGAGACTGGAGATGACACCATTATTTCTCAGTTCCAATGAACAAAACACACTGCATGCACATTTTTTCAGATCAATGGTGGGGAGGAGTGATTAGCAGTTCTTAATGACTATTTAATTATACTAAAAAGCACAAACTTTCAGGTTGCACGGAAAGCAAAAAGCCTCAGTGTGAAC